TACTCACTGGAAAGACAGAAAGATAAATATTAGTGAAAAGGCTTATGCTTTCAAGCAAGACTGATGGAGAAGAATTAACTTGAAGGAGATAAATCTTAAATGTCACAGAAGTCCATTTTTCTAGCAATTTATAATCCTTGTCTAACTGACAAGGAATATCTGCCATTACAACAAAATTAAATTAGAATCCAAAAGTAATGCTAGATAATTTTAAAAATACATGCTATACTTCAGGTTTCTAATCTAATGGTTCTCAAGGAAAAAAATGTAGTTTTGCTGACAACCCATGTTAGTTGTCATTCAATTTGTACACCAGTTTATTTAGATTTGATCCTCATCAGAATTATTTGAAAATGTAATTGAGTTCAAGTGGCAGACAAGGAATCAAGGAGTCAGGCTGATGTTCCCAAATTACACTGTGGTTGTGCTTAAGTCATTTAATCTCTCTGTGAGTCATTCTTTCTACTTACAAAATGGAGACACTGTTACGGGACCTAACCCCACTGAGTTGGTCCCAAGTTAGTCAGAAAAAGGAGTTTGTATTTCAAAATACTTGAAGAGCAAGTATTTCAACCCAGTGATATTTGGTAGAAGAACAAAAGACCAAGGATGTATATGAAGAGTAACTTCCTCATGTTCTGATACACACAGTAAATGTTTAGAAAATGGAATGTAAAATAGAAATATAATATAAAATTTTTAAACTCTTGGAACAAGACTAAGGTGAGAGATTCAAATCTTAAATCCAAAACATGGACATGAGGTACATTTTTTTGTTGAAAAAATTCAGAAAGGTAATTGTTCATCAAACTCTAGAGTGTAGAAAGAATGTCAAAAACTATAAAGCACTAAAAATGTTGTTGGGCTTTGTAATAAAAGAATATAAATTACTTCCATTCTGGTACTTTAAAATAATAATTATACACACCTACCTTAAGGATGTTTCATTTGAAATTTAAAAAAAAATCTTAGAGCATGAGACATGTACAATGAAGCTACACTGTTCTCCAATCAAATTATAATACAAATATGAGATGGGGTAAAATTCATAAAAATAAAATAATGCATGATGCATACCTTTGGAAAGCTTTTCCCACCTCAGAGCTTCAAATATATTCTTCTTTCTGTACAAACCCTCTGCCCCCACTGCAAATCAGTCAAGTATGTGTACCTCTATGTGTCCTTTCTTCAAAGAGATACTCCATGACCAACTCCTACCTTTTCTCTTCATGGAACTTACCATGTTTATAAACCATGCAGCTGTTCTTACAGATTATTTATTGACTGTCTGTGTCTACAAGTAAGGCAAAGCATGATCCCCTTCTGTTTACCACTGACCCCCTACCCACCCACCCAGTACACTGCTGATGAGAGCAGAAATCACTCTTCATTGGCTGGATGAAAAAAAAATGGAAAGTTGACCATAAATTTCCAAAGCCAGAAAACAGTGAGAAGGGATAAATCTTCAAGTACCAAGAGAGGGAAGAAAAAGGGTGTTTGATCTACTTTTTATTAGCCACCATTAAAGCGACTAATATTTAACTCCACATAAACTGTCCTGTCCTAGCATGCTGTCTACCCGTTCACCTGTCTTAGCACATGTGGGTCCTCTTCCGTATTTGAACCAAGGTGGAAACCTACCCCCTCTGGAAAACACTATAGATTATTTTCTAAATGCAGGCAGTGGCTTCCCATGAGTGCACCAGCCACAGCTCCCAGTCTCTGTGGCTCCCTCTCCTATGGAAGAAAATGGCCACAGACACAGCTACGGTGCCCTCAGGGTGGGAGGAGGAAGAAGACAGCCTTGGACAGGCACAGTCAGGAAGCACCCTGAATCAGTGCCTCCCAATTATCTGCAGTGAAGGGCCAGCTTTTTTGTTTACTTAAACTCATATAGATGATACCTTTAAAAAGTATATTGAAATAAAATATTAGAAACATGAAATGCTACTTATAAAACATGGCAATATCAAACTGGTACAAAAACTTTCCAGAGCTTACTCTCAGTTTCCAGAGGAGCAGCTCTACTGTGAACCACTTTGAGTAGCAAAAAGTGAAATGTCTAAATCCTCTCTGAAATTCCACTCACCAGGAGGGCGACATTGACCATTGAATCCCTTCTAGCACCTCCATAGGAAGGAAGGCTTTGCTGTGAAGATTAATGATTAATATTTCCTTGGCACAGAGGGTAATCGATGGTCTAAAAATGGAAGCCATTATTAATATGACAAGCCCTGTAGGAGTCTTTTCAGTTACTAAGCTCTCTGCACCTCACCTGATTCCTGTAACATTTGACAACCGTTCTCACCCAGCTTCAGTGCAAGAAGTCACACCACGGTGATGTGGTGAAATGCCCTGCGGCTGATGAGGATGGATGACCCAGCACATAGTGACTGGAGTGGACACGGAAGGGACAGAGGACAGAGCTGTATGCCTAGGTCTGCAGGGGGACTTACGCTCTCTGGAATTCTGGGATGCTGAAGATGGCCTGCATGACAGAACTGAGGTAGCAGCTGTTGCCCAGGTTCTTGAGACCCGTGTACCCAGGGCCATACATGGGCTTCAGCTTCGTTCCTGTCTCCTGGATCACCTCCCACTCACTCACCCTTGGCTTGATGTCATTGTCCCGGAGCCCGTTCTCTGTCTGGGGCAAAGTCAATTGAAGAAAAACAACATTAGCTGAGATTATCATTCAGAGATCATGTCCCATGAATTATTTCTAACAGCAATGGACATTTCTGCCTTTTTCTTTGCCAACAACAGTGAAATCATCAACCCAATTGAGATTGAGATGGTGGTGGTTACAAACAACATACTTAATGCCACAGAACTGTGCACTTAAAACATGGTAAATTTTGTCATGTACATCTTCCCACAAAAACTCACACTTAAAAGATTTTAAAAATTAAAAAATTAAAGTAAATTTTAAAAAGAGAGAGAGATCAAAGGGAAAGGAGGTTAGAGGAGGAAAAAAGGCAAATCAGAATTTTAAAAAACAGCACATTGAGTAATTTCAAGGGTAAGATACAACACAACACAGCAAACAAAAGGGTAAGGCAGGGGGGTGTTATAAAGCCACGGGGCCAAAGGGCTCTGAAATAGGAGGTGGGTTTAAGGAAGAGCAGAGACTGTGAACTAAGCCAGGCAGAGAAAGGCAAGTACCAGATGAGTTCACTCATTTGTGGAGTGTAACAACAAAACAAAACTGAAGGAACAAAGCAGCAGCGGACTCACAGACCGGAATAAGGGACTAGCGGTTACCAAAGGGGAGGGGTGGGGAGGATAGTGGGGAGGAAGGGAGAAGGGGATTAAGGGGCATTACAATTAGCACACATAATGTAGGGGGGTAAACGGGGAAGGAGGTATAGCGCAGGGAAGACAAGTAGTGTGGTAGTGTAGCACCTTACTATGCTAATGGACAGTGACTGCAATGGGGTGGCGGGGGGGACTTGATAACATGGGTGAATGTTGAAACCACAGTGTTGCTCATGTGAAACCTTCATAAGACTGTATATCAATGATATCTCAATAAAAAAAATTAATAAAGAAAGAAGAGCAGAGAAAACATTAAAAAGGCAACATGTGTGAGAAAGAGGAGACAGACAGGAGAGCACGAGAGGGAGATGGGCTGCGCTGGGAGGAAAGGGCTGAAACAAAGCCCGCACATTTAACTGTCTCCTCTCAGGGAGGAATAAGACATAGTCGTGATATCAGCTTGAAAATGCAGTACTAAATGAAGCAGACTTTTTCATCAACAGTCTATTGGCTTATTCTTTCCATCCCAGAGGAGTTCTGCTTCCCTTCCTGAAATTAATTAAAGCAACCGTCACAGATAATTTAAAAGGTCATCTTCCTGCACCTTCTCACTTTAGTGAACAAAGGGTGATTCATGCTACTCTCCATAAAAGGAGACAGAAATATGACTCGTAAAACTCTAACTAAAACAAAATGGTACTTGATGAGGGGCCATTTTCATTGTAACATAAAAATATGCAAGCTGGTAACCAAAAGAAAATGCAAATTAATTAAATTCAAAAAGTAAATGAAAACATTAAAACCTAAAATCTATAAATGAAGACTCATGTCATAGTAATTATATATTAAATAAACCAAGCGGTGCCCTCCCCATGGGGTGGGAATAGAGATGAAAGTAGACCTTCTCACCCCGTGCATGTGAAGCATATCAATTCCAAAATGCGCTAAGTGCTTGGCCAAATGAGGATCCAGAACAGGTTCCTCTTCTTGGAAAGAATAAACATCTAGAGGGTGAAGAGAAAATAAACACTAAGATCTGTAATCAAGTCACTCAATTTTTCAACACATATTTATTGTGCCCCTACTATGCACCAGGCTCAGAATATACCAATGAGCAAAACCAACAGAAACCTCATGTGAGTTACATTCAACTGGGAAAAAGTCAGATGATAAATCATAAACATAATGAACAGATGTTTTTTAAAACACCCATATGTCAATTCTTTCAATATTTCAAAAAGTAATTTATAAAGGTTTTCTGAAACAAAAGAGCAGTGCCTAAAGTTAAAATAATTTAAATTAGACAAATGTAAATGCCTAACACTTGATTTTTCTAACCAAATCCAGTGTAAGTTGAGGAGGAAGTGAGGAGAGGGTGACGGCACCTGCCTGTGGCAGGGACAGCCTCGGAGTGAACAGAGACGGCATACAGACCCTCAGGGACAGATGAATGGCTGGACAGGGGTGTTACGTCCAGGACAAAACAAAATTCTGCATGTGAAACCCTCTATAGTCTCAGACCAACCAGCTCACCATCTGCCACCTGCCACCTGCCCCCTCATTCCTGCTTTCCTGCTTCATTGTCCACACCTCACAGAGCTGGTGAGGGACTTGTGAAAACTAGGAGGTATTTCCCAAATGTGCTTGCATGTGCTCACCACAGCACACCCAAAATGATGATGCTTTTGGCACGCAGGGTAACTCAGGAGCTCCAGCCGCCCAGGCCCTGCCACCATGCCCGGGGCCTAAGGGATTGGCATCTTTGTAAACCACTTGGGGTGCACTAGTATGGGGAAGCTCTGTGCTGACATGGGTAGCTTCTCTCCTAAAGATCCTAATATCCCACCTGACAACTGAATTCTTTACACAGAACCTGACTTCTCAAGTGTGGTGTATGGACTCAAAGCAGCAGCACTCTTAGAAATGCAGAATTTGTGACCTGAAACCACTAAATGAGAATCTACATTTTAATGAGATCCCAAGGTGCACAGCAGAGTTTCAAAAGCACTGCTTCAAGTTTTCAAAACCAATCCAAACCAGTGCCTATCTGTCTTCACATAGCAGTGCAATGTGGGAAAGGGAACAGACATCTTAAGGCCCATTTTGCAGATGAGGAAAAGAAACTCATAAAAGTTAAATCATTTGCTCAAATCCCACAGGTGGCCCAGAACCCAGGTTTTCTGACTCTGCCCAGACCGTTTTCCTCTGCACCACACTATTTCCTTAGATCTCTCTGTCTCTCTGGAGACCAAAAGACTTGGTCAAGCACAATCCTAGGCCCTCAACAGAACAGAGTCAAAAACCACAATATTTTCAACCCTAAAGTTGAAAAACAAAATCTATGACAAGGAAAAACAGATACAAAGATATCGTTCTTCAGGACAGTAAAAAAAGACCACCCCAAGGGATTTTCCTGCTCTTTGGAACATTACCAGGAAAAAAAAGGAATATGCAGAAACTATGGTGACCCTCTGACTGAAACCCAGGTATGTGGAGACTCAATGCCACCAAAGGAAGTCAGTCTTTCTATTATCAATAGATTATTGACACTGTACAGACATTTTAACTTATAGGTCAAAACATTCATTCATAATTCTCTTTTCAGTTTAATTCAATGCTCTCAAAGGCAAAAACAGAAGACAAAATCCCCAGCCAAATTAAGAAATCTTTCCAAAAAGTTTAAATACTAAAAATATCCACAAAAATCTGTGAACTGACAGCTTGAAACATATATATCGACAGTATTTTTCATCTATGACAACAGAAAAATACCACTCAAATACTGGCTGGAAGGTGAAACTGACATTCATTCCCTAAGCACTTTAACTTTAGTCATCACTAACTAGTGAGATCGTTTTGAAGACTTTATGCCTCTGATTACTTAAGCTTTATTAGAAAATAATAAAATTGCTAGAACTGCACCATTGGCAATAGCCTAGAATTTTGAAATAAGTGAAAATCACATCGCATTCTCAAATTCTTTACCTGTTGGGCTCACTCCACATTAAAAAATTAACATTTCCTACTTCTAGTCATTAGCTGCTCCAAAGATATTACATGACTTGTTCAGACACAATAATTATTTCTTATCCCAATGACAAGAAGAGTTTAGTGAGTAACATACAAGAAACCTAAAAATGAATTGTGATATTTGAACTTGGCAATCAGGAAGAAATTGCAAATGACATGTAGTCATAGAAAAAAATTTTGAAGTGGACTCAGGGGCTGAAAAGCCTGGCTTGTTTTTCATTGGGAAATTCACTTTATCTCCAACTTCAGCTTAGCAAAGTCAAGTCTTAGCTCAGAAACAATTGGAGCAAATTAGCATTGCCTGACAATTACTAACTCCTCCACCCCTAACTTGACTTAAAAACTTGGGGCCAAGAAACACATTTCGGAAGCCTGCAGAGGTGCTCCTAGGAGCAGTTCAAGCAGCATTTCGTGAGCAACGACATGAGTAACTACATTCACTTTAGAAGGAAACCAGTCATTGTTTCATTTCAAGGTAAATGACAAATTAAACCACAGAGAGCATGGAGAGATCCACAAAGGGGAAGAGAAGTTAAAGGAAAAGTGTTAGAACATACATAATTCATTGGTGTGATAAGCATGTTAGAAACCAGTACATGCAAGAAGTTCTAAAATTAACTACAGAAAAAGAGAACAAAAAGGGAGACTAAGACCAAGACTGAGACTCTATAAGGAATTACATCAAGACGGTAATAATTTCTTCTCTCTGAATGGAAAGATTTCTTTTTCTGGCTTTTTTGCTTCTCTATTTTTCCAAATTTATTACATTTTGATTGAAAAAAATGTTTTATAAGTAATTCCCAAAGATCAAAATGATTCCATGGCATGCTATGCTATTAGAACTAGTGTACCGCTGGACATCCTTGTTCATACAGACGGATGAACTCCCTCATTTTCATTCACTGTATTCAACAAATACTGAACAGCAAATACATACAGATCCTGAAGGCATAAATAAGACAGGCAAGGTCTCTGCTCTCATAAGTTTAAACTTTATTATTTCAAATAATCTTAGAAGAAATGCTTGTTCGGTATAGAGAACCTGAAAAGACACCTTCTCGGCTCAGGTTTAATCATAGGACTTTAGGTTCTCTTCCTAAACCCCAGAAATTTCAGAAGTCCAAATCCTGCCCTCAGATTCCCACATAGGAAAGCAGAGGGGAGAGAGAAGTAAATATGTACCTCAGCAAGCTCTTGTGTTTAGAAAGAAAAATGAAACCAGCGAAGCTGGCTTCACTGCTCTGTTCTCGTGGTGCAAGTGGAGAGAAAAACAGAACTCAAAAGAGGACAAGAGGTTCTCTCCACAGTATGTGTTGATCCACCGGCCCTAACTCTGTCTCCCCCCTTGAGTTTGTATTTGCATGCCTATAGACCTTCTGTCATGAAGAGGAAAGAATACCAGAGAATGCTCAGCAGTTAATCTAGAAAGCAAAACACAAAATGAATGAGGTCAGGGGCACATACCATCACCATCACTTTACAGAGTCTAACTCCCAGGCCAGACAAAACCCAGACTGTAGTCAGAAAAGGAAAACAAGTAAGAGTAAAAAGATATCAATGAAATAGAAAAAATGAGTGAAAAAAAGAAAAAATGCAAACTAAAGGAGCAAATTTTTTCACGTATCTTCCTCCATTTGTTTACTCCAAAAATACCTGCTGAGCACCTACTGTGCGTGAGTGAGGGGCGACGCTGGAGATGTAATAGCACACAACAAAAGTGGTGCTGGGAACCTGCTGCCCGAGGGGACCACCATTAAACAGCTACAGGACCTTGTGCAAAGTGCTACGATGGAGCCACACGAGGTGCTCCAGAAGCACACAGGAGCACAAGTCACGTCCAAGCTAAAATGAAGTGTCAGTGCCTTGATCCTGAGCTCTTGGGCTGTGAGAAGCTCAAGGGAGCTTATGCCCAGGTCAAGAGTAAAGATGACGAAAGAGGAAAGACCACAGTGAGATGTGAGGAGCTGGTGCAGGGCCAGTGGGCTGGGTGATTTCACAGCGGCCGCGGGCATCTCCAGAAAGCTCTCCTGCAGCTGCCAAGGTCCTGAGGCTTCTTAGGGCAACTCGTCTCCATAGGGGAAGAACGAAACCCCCTCTCCTGACTCCATCCTTCCTCACTCCCTTCCCACCAAGAACCTCATCCTTGCTCTGCCAAACCAATGTGTCCCTGCACAGAGGAGCTTTTTATTCGTCTGTCTGCATGGAGAGCTATTTATTGGTTTGTTTGTTGCTGTGCCTATGGGACCCAGAGTGGTATTTGATATGCCACCCATTTTTATTACCCACGCCACCTCAGTGCCCCAGCCTGGGGGACCAAGGCTTCCAGGAAGAAGTGATTCAAAGCTGAGACCTCAGGATGAGAAGGAGCTTCTCACTGAACAGGTATATCCATACTAGGGAGAAGGAAACCAGGATGATAGACTCACACTGCCATTAAATATTTGATCCACAACCTGCTCGGATTCCATGTTCATTAAGCAATATTCTAAATATAATTCAGCTTTCCACAGGAATGTACTGGTCAAGCAGGCATAAACACCCCACTTACAGGCAGGTGTGGTCCTCATTATAAACTAAAACACAAACAACCTGACTTTGAGACTTTGTCACTCCCAGGATGAATTAGCCTCAGAAAGCTCAGACCCCCCCACCCCAGCAGGTGTACCTTCACCAAGAGATGGCCACCCCACCCCCAAACAGAAGCCACCCCACCCTCCCAGGCCTCAACATCCACAAAGCTCCTCATCAGATATTTTAGGAAACTTTACACATGCTTTCATTTACTTATTTGGCATTTAAATAAATAATAAGTTACACCTAGCAATTATTAAATAGGCTTAAAAGAAACTAATGTAGAATTGGTATATCCCATAAATGAATAAGAAACTATAATTAGACTAAAAATAATCATTTGTGTTAAAACCAACTATGTGCAAGATAAGCAGGAATCTTTTTTCAAAAAATAAATATTATTTCAGCTAAATCAATTCAAAAACTTTCCTCTCAGGGTGTATGTATTGCTGTCACCAATGTTCTCTGCTTTCTATGATTGAAATAGGAGCATTTATTCAAATACTCTCGATTATATGATAAATAAAACCTTAAAAGTTCTCTCTCCTCTACAAAACAAACAACCAGAACTTAACTATGGCAGATAATGGGTTAATAGTCTTAATAGCTAAAGAATTTTTAAAAACCAATAAGAAAAACACCTATATATAGACTTACTAGAAAGTTAGCCTAAGAAATTCACAAAAAGAACTAAATGGAATGAAAAACATTCCATTTTACTAGTAAAGCAAATTTAAACAAGATACCAGATTACCAAAGGTTTTTTAAAATTTTGAATACCCAAAGTTGTCAAAGATTTGTTGAAATGAGTATCCTCATACACTGCTGGTGGGGTTGTAAATTACTACAAACTGTTGTTTAAAGAGAAACTCGGCAATAGAAAATTTAAAAGGTTCAACCCTTGTTTGTAGGAATTTATCCTAAAAAAATCATTAGACAAATCCCCAAAGATTTGTAAATGTACAAGATGTTCATCAGAATAGCAAAAAAAATGTAACAACTAACTTTTAAGGGAAACAGTGAAATGATTTATGGAACTATCATGGGATACTGAAGAATATTTAGTGATAAGGTAAATATATAATTTAATGTTAAGTAGAGGAAAAGAAGAACAAAATTTTATACAATGTGATTTAGTTTTTATAAAAATGTTGGGGTGGGTATTTGTATAAGAACTGCTCAAGGCCTTAAAAAAGAAAGAAGACTAAAAAGAAATACCCAAATTATTAGAAGTGATTTGTCTATTAGGAGGTGGTGTTACTAGTGAATTTTATTTATCTCTTTCAGCTTTTCTCTGTTGTCTAAATGTGCTACACTGAACATCTGCTTCTTGTATAATCAAGTGACAAACACAAAACTTTCCTTCCTCAAGCTGAAAGGAAAGAAACTTCAGGTATACTCTAAATCATAGTTTGAAAGTAAGTTTCACATTAGAATAAAGGACTGTGGAAAATTAAAGACTCATAGGGAATAGAACTAACCCTTGCCTTCATTATTAGCATAAATTTAAGTAGTATCTAATTATTTAAATATTTTTATACCAAATGGTTGATTTAACAAAAGTATTTGTGCCTACTAAGATTCTGTATGGAACCCAAAGGTGAGTAAGACACAGCTCTGCCTTCAAACAACTGATATAAAGAAAGAGAACCAATTCTGAAGCTGATAGTCCAAGTAGGAAGCAATCCGAATCCTTGTCTGCACAGGATCACCATTCCTGCCAGCTGGTATCAGGCACTCAGAACACACAGTACCCTGTAAAACTCATCTTCTCCATAATGAATCCATTTGTCCTGAGATGACAGTAATCCCAGGAATGAGTCCAGAGCCACCCCTACTATTTGAGTGGTGGATTGGATTATGCACATTCCCTTCTCAAGTCCTGGTTCCCACTTCTATCCTCTTAGTCAACAGATAAACAATAGATAATAACAATAGCATCTAGCTGATTAACACCTTACTGGGTGCACTGGGCTAAATGCTTTATGCACACTAACAAATCTATGAGAGAGATACCATGATTATCCTCAAGGTGAGAAACGTGAAGCCTAGAGAATTTCAAAACGTGCCCAGGAACCTTGCAGCTAATAAGAGGCAAAACCGGGATTCAAACCTGGGCTGTCTGAGTAAGAGCCTACACTCTCCAGCCCTAGGGATTGAGGCACTGGTCCAGCCTAGGAGAGAACTATCCCGAGTTCCCGGAGCCCGTGGAGGCACACTCACCTGCCCCGTCGGGCGTGATGGTTCCCAGTTTCACAGCCAGAGGGTAGCCCATGTCTCTGTGGTGTTCCAGCGCGTGCCCGTTACCCCCGGAGCTGTCAGAGAACCACTTCCCACACAGCACAGAGCCATCGGTCAGATTCAACCAGAGGTTCTCCCGCAGGTCACACCTGGCACACTTCCAACCACTGGAGAGCCATCAAGGAGTAGTTAGTACAGCTGGCGTACACGGTGTGATCAGAAAACTCATACATGAGAAACCCGAATGTCTCAGGCTGGGAGTCACAGGAAACAGTCAATGGAGTGACAGGACTGGTGCTTCCCATTTCCTCCCCTCAAAATATGAAAGCCACCCTCCCAGAACAGCAGGACCACTCAGTACCCTGCCTGCCTCCCAGAGGGGGAGCAGCTCCTCCTAACTCCTCCACAATGGCCTTTTTTACTTCAGAAAACTGACAGAACCTGAGGGAAGCAGGGAGGTTATTTCCTTAAAATTCCTACATGAGGGACAGTGAAGCTTGAATAAGCATAAAACAGTAAGGATTCTATGTGCATAAACATCTACAGTTCTAAAGCATTAAACTACACTTGGTAAAACTAATTCAAACAAAACCCTACTACACGGCAAATCTAAATCCAGTAGAAAGGAAGGTTAAATGTCACGTATAATCAAGATACCTTTAACAGAAGTTTTGTCATTTAATTCTAATCAGTATTTCCATTTCCATTGGCAAAAGGAGAAACTGAGGCCCAGAAGTACTGAGCCTTCCCTGAGACCACACGGAATGGGATGCAGCACAGTCTGGACACACTGCCGATCCATCTGCCCGTTCCCTCTAGCACGTGCCACTGCCGACATGCCAGCACCAAGCGGGAAGTGCTAATGTAGCCCAAGAGCAGGCCAGCCAAACATGTGGTGACCGAAGGCTGTCATCGTTTGGGCTTCCCCAGAAGCAGACTCTGAGACAAAGATCTGAATGTGAATGGCTTGTCTGGGAGATGATCCCAGGAAGCACCCTTGAGAAGTGACACTGGAGGAGCGGGGAAGCCAGTACAGGCTTGGTCAGCAAGCAGGTGGCCACTGCGGGCAATGAGGGCTCAGTGCAGCCGGGCTCTCCCACAGGCAGTTATCCCATCTGACCGGTAAAGGTCCGGGTACTCATCCATCAACTCTGCAGTCCCTGGTTGAGACGGTTCCAGCAAACAAGCCGGGAGCATTAACTCCCTGGCGTTTCTGACCATCCTACATGGCTTCGGCAGGCAGAGGAAGCCTCAAGCAAAGATCTGCAAGGGCTTCCAACCAGAAGCCTTGGGGTGGGATGAGCTCAAGGGTATGGGCTGGCCATGTTTAGCATCTACTACAAAGTTACAGGTAATTTTAGATAGGATTTTGAGGTTATTTTAATTAAAAGCATCTGATAAGAAAATACATAACTACTAATTCAGAGAAGGGTAGACAAGTAAGTATTGCTTTAGCCAGTGAAGTTCTGTTTCACTACCTGATGCTCACCTTGGAGGAATTCTGACTCCGTTGTCCAACTGGGTAAGGTTATTGGCATATTTGGATACTGGCAATTCATTTTCCCATGTGTCTGGGTCCTGCTTCCTGTATGGGGATTTTGAGCTGAGAACTGCATCACAAGCAATTGTTACCTGTAAGACAAACGCAGATGTAACACTTAAAAACAGTTTAAGAGGATAACAACTTCCAGGAAATAAATTTAAAAGTTTATTAATAAATACAGCTTAATCCAAGAAAATTCAAACAGCAGTAACCACAAGATCAAGAGCCTAGTAACCTGACTCCAGAACATTCTTCCCAGATCGAGGTAGGTTTTGTCCCTGGCTTGTAGTTTGTAGTACTGACAATGACACAAGATGGCAAGGAACCAAATCCAGTTTTGCAAACCCAAGTGCACAAGTTAGATTTAACAATTCCTACCTCTTAACAAGCAGAGTGAAAAGTATAACGTGAACAATTTATAAGGGGAAATTAACTACAGGCATGCTTAGGGTTTACCCAAGTGGTGTATTTTCCCCTAACAAATTATACAACCAGCTATCCAATATCCTTAACTCATCACACAACAGCATGCTGTCAAGGGCACCTGAATGGAATGGAAGCAGCACGGCTCCACTTCTTAATCTGGTGCAAATGTGACCCTGGACGGGGACACGCCTAGGTGTCTCTGTGCCAGGTCCATCTGCATCAGGAGCAAATCTGTGATGTCCAGCTTGGCATCAACTGACCAGAGAGGAAGGGGATGGCAGATTCTCTGCTTTCTCCCAAACCAAAATATCCTGGACATATGTCTAACACCACATTTGCTATTTGCTTAATGCTATAAGCATTTTCTACTTGTCTTTGAAACGTACTCTAATGGGAATGTAAAACAGTGCTGTCACTTTGGAAAACAGTTTGGTAGCTCCTCCAATGGTTAAACAGTTACCCTATGATCCAGAAATTCCACTCCTAAGGATATACCCAAGACAAAGGAAAATACATATGTTCACACAAAACTCAGACACAAACTTTCATAGAAGCATTACTTATAATAGCCAAAATATGGAAATAACCCAAATATCCATTAACAATAAATGGATAAATAAAATGTTGTATGTCCATATGGAATGTTATTCAGAAATAAGAAGGAATGGAGTACTAACACATGCTACAACATGGATGATTCTTAAGTATATGCTCAGTGAAAAAGGGCCAGCTCCAAAGAACCATGTCTATTGTATGATTCCCTTTGCATGAAATGTCCAGAACAGACAAATGCATACAGACATAAGACAGATTAGTGATAGCAAGAGGCTGAGGACGTGTGGGGAGGGAGGGAGGAGGCAGGGGTGGGGGAGAGGCTGAGAGGCAATGGCTATGGGGTAATAAAAATATCCTAGAATGAGAGTGGTGATGGATGCCCAGCTCTGAATATAACAAAAACCACTGAATTGTTTATAAAATGTTTAAACAAAAATTTGTATTCTACATCACTAAGATCCTGCACAATTAGCTGAACTTCATGCAGAGTGTTTTCCCTGGTTAGCACTGAAGAGTGAGCCTAGAACTGATTAAGAGACAATGGAGGAAGTTCTTTCAGCTGCAACCCCACCCTCACCCAACCCGGGAGCAATCTCTATCAGTTCCACATGGAAAATCTATTTGGGACCTACCTCTTCTCTATTCCGGTCACACCCACCCTAGTCCCAGCCACCGCCAAGGGCTCACCCAGATGGCTGCACCAGCCTCCTTACAATCTCCTTTTCTCCACACAGCAGCAAGAGTGATCTGCTATGAATATTAGATCCTCTCCTTCTTCAGTTTAGAACTCTCCAGGGTTATACTGAACACTACCAATCAATGGCACTGGACTAGGCATGGTCAGGAATGAAAAAGAAGTCCCCGTCTTCAAAAAAGCTTATTTTTCTATTCCAGATCAGGTATTCATAAACATATTTAAATCTTTTAAAAGATATATTCCCATTCATCTCTCACCATAGCATTGTTACATAATTAGCCTTTCCTTTCAATTATCAAAATTCATCTCCCACTCTCTTCCAGAAATGCCCCATAAGTTCACCACAAGTCCTTCCCAATTTTATGATTCGAGCCATGCTGCCTTAGCACTTCTGGCTATGCATCCGACCTTCTTAGTCTATTCGGTTACTTAGAACCTAGAACCTCCTTGTTGTTTCACTGACTACCTTAACCGCTTTCTCATCCTCCTCTGAGTCTTCTCCACCCTATTAGATCTCTTTTAAGTGTTCCGGTTTACACTGCACAATGACTTTGACCAAAATTTGGACAATATTCTCCCTTTTTAAAAAATATACGTCTGGTGATACTAAACATAATTTCCTTACTCTTCTGGGACACTGATCAGTGTTTTCAGGACATCACCTAAAATCATGTAGAGGCCCTTTCTATGAATCAGGGCTGAAGATCAGGATCCATTACCTTATAATTATACTGTGAGTTATCTTTCCCTGGATTTATTATCTGGAGTGAAGCAAGAGACCTTGGTACTAGTCCTGGATTCATCCCAAGTCTCCACAGGCCTCAAGTTCAGTGGTGTTCAGGAACTGACTCAAACTGGTTCACAGAACTGATTGTTAAATTCTAAGAAATTATGCAAAATGGTTGTTAAATACAGACATCACTAAAAAGTTAAATTACATAAATTTAAAATTAAACACATTTTTTAAGTAACAAATATTCAAAACTCTTCACTTCCTACATGTCTACTATATCTTACTATTAACTATGTGCTCTTGAGTTTATTGATGTCTTATGTTAACGGTTACAATTCCATATAATGGTGTGTTACTGAGCATCTCTTTTCCAGCATTGCATTCAGTGACATTATGTTGCCAGGCTGAAATCAGCCATGGTCAGGAGTGTGTGCACTGCGGAAATCAGCAATCACTACAAAGCAAGGCTTCTCCCCCAGGGAGCTGGTTGCTAAGCATTTCCAAGTGCAGCATCTACCAGGGCCTGAGCTCCTCGGTTTCAGGCTGTAAGGTCCCTCCTGAGCTTGCAGCGCTGTCACTGTGAACTCTGCATTACTAAGAGGCAGCTTAACCTCCTGGTAGAGTCTGCAGAGTTCTAGCTGCAACTGAGCCTTTTCTGGGCTGAGAAGCTCAAGAGATGAAGGAAGAGCCACCTGGTTGGATGATTTTTAGCTCAGTATTTTTTGTTATTTAAAAGCCTAAAGAGAGAATTATCAAACACCAAAATATGTAGCAAAAGCATGAGAACATATAACTAGCATCTGTTAAATCGATAAATCCAATTAGTTACCAACAGAAAAATCCAGGCCTTTCCTTCAATCTCCTCACCCGACCTTGCAAATAATCTCTCTCCTTTTTTTTAAGTCTTCAAGTATTTCTTCATGCGAAAGGACTTTGTATTAATAATTAAAATAATATTGCTGGATTCAGATTTCTATGACACTTCACTCTTAAAGGTATTCACTCTCTGAATTATATGCTGAATATAGGAATAATTTAAAATACTTAATAGCTCTTTTCTTAACTTTTTTCACATAAAGACTTTTTCTTCATAAGTGAATGAAAGAAAATCATTTCAAATGTATCCACAATGTGCTTCTTTACTTCTGTTCTGACAGTAGACATAAGAGTTATATTAAACAAGAGCAATAAGAACTCCCAATATCACAGAGATCTAAGCTTTGGTATATAATTTCAGGTAATGGGTGGAGGTAAGACTATTCTGTCCAGTCACATATTTTATCCTTGGTAACAGCCACATGAGTCAACACAGGGAATTGGAAAAAGCAGAGGTAATTTAATTCTGTTTGCTCTGCTAAACACTGCGCACTTAGCCCTAAAAAGGATATGTTACATCTAATAATTAGAGGAATGAGCTACAATAGCTAAATACACAAAATTTTCATTTCTATGGTCTGATATTTAGGTATAAAGTAGATCAGGGGCCAGAGAGGTTGAATGGTGGAAAGCTGGTCGTTAATGACATGGGAACCCCAAGCACAAAAACCCACTCTTGGCAGAAGCAAGTGAGCCAGTGGCTATAGATACAAAATCACACAATGTCCAGAAGATTCTGGGACCTAAAGATTTGGCTTTGGTTCTGGCTGAGTTGGAGGAGGTAAAAAATGAACTAGGTGTCTTAACTCAATTGACCCCCACCCAGATGCTATCTGTGGCCAGGCCCTGAGAAGTCAGGGTGTGCAGGGAGTAGGAAAGAGGAAAAGAAAGAGAAGAAAACAAAGGGAAGATGGATGGAATGGAGCAGACAATACAGATGAGGAAAGAACAGGAAAAATAATGAGGGTCCTTACAGGATGTCTGTGTGCACTTAGGGGATCAAAGTTAAACAGAGCCTGGCTTTCTCCACACCGTCGCCACCACCCCTGGCTTTAAGTTGTTCAGGAAGATGAAAGCCCTCCACAAAAATAGGAAAGGAAGAGTAGAAAACCTCACCATTAAAGCTAAATCCTAAAATCTAGAAAGCAGTCTAGTCCTCTTGAGGAACAAAACTAAAAAGTGTGTTCACATCACCCCCAAGCTCCTGCAGACCAGTGATTTGTAAACATTTGGTTATTTTTATAATTGTGAGGCTGTTGTTGCAACAGTGGAAGCCTTATTTTTCTCAAACAAAATCTTACATGGAAGGCCAACATGGAGAAGATAAAAAACATCATCATTGCACTGATTAGAAGGCAGCCCCTCTCCAGTAGTCTGCCACATCCAGGGGAACAGTGTGAAAATCTAAGCTCCAGACTGTGAGTCACGGGCAGCAAGAAGCCAGCCCAAGGGGGGGAGGCCAGCACATGAGCGGCGAAGCCCCAACAGCCCTGCAAGCAACAGGCAGTAGAGGCCGCTCTGCCCAGAGCTGTTGGAATGGAACCCTGCAAGACCCTTTCACAGAGAAAAAGCGGTACGTTCGTGCTCGTGCTCACTCTTCTCCTCTTGTCTCACCACTTTCCCCACCCATGGAGTGCACGCACACCACACACACACACACACCTGACACAGAGAGCCACGCGCACCTAGCTAGCAGCCGTGCACACTCACTGACCAGGGCTGGTAACTCCTCAATATTGGGTAGTGCTATCTCATAGTGGTCTGGGAATATAACAAGTTTGGCTTCATCTTCATATTCATAATCGTCGCTATTTAAATCGTCATCAGTATCTAGATCTGAGGAGAAAACAAAAACAAAGAACAAGAAGTGAAGAAAAGACATTCCACACCAAGGCAGCACTCACTGGGAAGCCAGAAATCCACAGGGACAGCAGCCAAGGACGCGACTTTCACACCTCCCACCTCTGCCACGACCACCCCTTGCCCCAAACCAGAAGCAAAAGGCCTTTCCATCTCTCCTAAACTATAAATACTTACTTATAAAGGATAGGTTATAAGAAGACTGGGTCATATCATTCAGCTTTACAATTAAAATAGACATACATGCTAGATATTCCATTCTCAATGATTTTTAAAGGAACAGATTGTTAATTATGATTTGTTGGGTATCCAGCTCCTGATTTCACAAGAATGCGTTGGAATATTTTTCACAATAGTGTAATAACAGAAGAAAGTACATTGGTTTGAGAGTAGATAAACCAAGGTTCGATTCTGGCTCAATTAATGTAACTTTGGACAAGTAACAAGTTCTACAAGCCTTAGTTTCCTCTTTGCAGAATAGAGATAATAGCACTTAATTCACACAGTTTATACAGGGCTTACATAAGGAATTGTAGACAAGAGACCTAGCACATAATAGGCAGCCAATAAATAATAGCTATTACTTAAAAGTAGAATCTCAATTTCACTCTCTCCCTTCCCCTCTAAGAGTTGCTGGGATATTGCATAGTAAACCAGAGAGGGAACCCCATAATGTAAGTAGTCTCACTGTTCTCAGGCTGTGGAGAATTTTTGGTAAGAAAGATGAGTACCTCCCACCTGTTATCTACCAAGTCAAGGCCTCTTTGCTTGGCTAATCTCTGGTAAAGGTTAGGTGAAGGCTCAAGGCAACATCTTGTCACAATATTTACATGGACATTTCAGCCTTGTGTTCACATGGATGCCAGCACCTCAGATCATGTTTGTATATTTAGATGTTTGGAACTATGGTGACAAAGAGCTACTGAGCCATATTCCACTCACACCACCCATAAACAGATACACAAACATGGGCTCAACAGTTAGGAGAAAGTTAACTTTACTAGACAAAGCAGCCCACTGAGAAACAAATGATCTAGATGACCCCATGACTACCTGTTATTACCCAGTTGTTTGCCTCCAACCAAAACCTAATATCTCTTTGTATACAACTCTGCTCTTGAATTCTCAAAGGGAGGGCAGTTTTAATAGAAAATGAGATACAGCTAAATGCAGTCTCAATGTAAACATTAAGAGATTCTAAATAATATCAGAACTGCCAAAATAAAGAAACATCTTTAGATAGTTGTAAGAGGCTATATTTTGTAAATATTTATTATATTTTATAAATGCTTATGTTAATAAATTTAATTTTATTCTGTTTGTTATGTAGATATTCTATATGTTGTAAAATTCTGTTATAAAAATTTGGCATTCTATGTTATAAATTGGAGTGCCCCTATACCTATAATAAAAAAATTAGAACCTAAATATTCAATAAGAATGGTGTTCAACTCAACAGTAAAGTATTTAACTGATATTTATTTAGACTATGTAGAAATATAGAAATGTTTCTGTTACATCAATGAGAAAAATACAAAATTCATCGTCACTGTAAAGACAACTTTGCATAAGTTACAGTCATGGACAAGAACTGAAAGGAAATCTGAACAAATGAAAATAACAAGTGGGTGAACTTCTCTCCCTTCTTAAATTTTTCTTCATTATATTGTCTATAACAATTTTAAGTAACCAAAGCAACTCTTTTGTTTCTGTGTACAGATTCAGTTCATATATTATCAAAGTGTCTCTTTTCCACAGAAAACAGTCATTTAATGCTAATCCAAATCTTACCTGGTCAAAAACAACGACAAACTAAGTCCAAAAAAAATCCACTCTGACATCTACTAGCTTTGTCCCCCCCGGGCAAGTTCATCTTCCTCATGAGTAAGCTGTGGATATCATCTTGCCCACAAGATTGTGGAGGTAAGGTGTTAAGGCACCTGACTGGACCTGGCAGGTAGCAGGGGCTCCACAGAGCAGCTGCCACCACCACCATCACCACCTTCTCTACACCCCAAACAACTAACAGGATCCAAAGCGCCTTCCCTCCCCGCTGACTGCCCCAACTCCAGAGTAGTCCTGGAGCAGGTGTGCGGAAGACGATGGTATCATGGGGATTTTCTGCGTGATTTGAGTGTGCAGAAGCTCTGAGCTTGAAATGCTTCTAGACTAAACCGTAAGAGCAGGAACAGACCTTACGCACCTGCCATATCCCTCCCCAGCCCCTGCACGGTGCCCAGCGCACACCACAGCCCCAGTGAGTGTCTATGAAAGCAGACCAGGAAGTTAAAAACCCCAATGTGCTAAGGTCCAGAACAAGTCAAGAGCATCAGAAGGACTGCTGTGGTTTGGGGGTTTTGTTAATTGCTAACTGGTATGTGTTTAAAAAGAAGCAAGACTATTGTCATCCAAAAAAAGCAGAACTTTGTTGGGCTTCTTTACACTTGGTTTGCAGTTTACTTTTATTTTTATTTTTAATTCAATGAGGTAGAAAGGGACCATGATCTTTCCCAAATATCTTAAACCAAATCAGGGAAAGGTCAGCAGAGACAAACCAGCAGAGGTAATATTAAGGGACAAATCTAAGGTTTCTTGACCCCACACCTTAAGTATGAAATCACAGGTTCCAAATGTGTCTAGAGTCTCACCAGCCTTCTAGTTGAGGAATGTACAGAGTAACCATACTCTAGGGGCCCAGGGGACTAGGACCCCAACCTCTCCCACAGCCACTTTCCACTGTGACAATTAACTGTCAATACCTAGACGGGCTCCATTTCTAAGTTAAAAACAAAAACAAAAAACTCTTCACCAACTTTACTTCAGCGACCATTCAGATCCCTGCAAGAAGTGGCTGGGACCACAGCCATCTCCAAGAAGCAGCTTCCTAAGCTACGAAGCCTCACCACAGAGGAAAGAATCCTTAAATCAAGCCAGGGCTCCGATGGCCAGCTCAGACTTCACCCAGCCTGACAAACTGGCTTTAGTTTGTGTGCTGGAGGCAAGTAGTCTGGCTGTTCCAAACATTCACCCTCACAAGAAGGTACAGGGAAAAAGCTCCTTGAGCACAGACCCTATTCTGTGACCTGTTTTAGAAGGAAATGGGAAAACGGAGTTCACTTGAACCTTCAGGTACAGACGAAGTTTTCTGAACAGGCACATTCCTAGAACTTTCCACAAATACTGTTTCCAACCTGTTGCTCATCAAGTGTGAATGCCAGGAATTAGGCCAAAAAGTGGAATTTAAGTCATCTGAGGTTTAGCAGTAGCTCTTTGACATGCCAGTCTTCAGACACTGAAGGACTTGACTCATTTACTCGTATTTGTGAAAGTTGGAGGCACAGAGAGGATGTCACTAAAAATGAGACTATTTAACATTGTTTATATGACATACCAAAGATACACTATTTTTTAAAGTAAACGCATGAGCAGTTATTCACACATCTATACATATGTGTAGCTTTAGGGTAAAAAAAAATGAGATTAGGCAGAATCAAGTTGCGAGTCCTGGGGTATTTCTTTGAAGATCCCAGACTCCCTTACATTCCCCTTCCCTCCTTCCATCTCATAAAGCTGCAAGCTTTGTATCTGCTTATTCCCAAAATTCACTACCTTTCATATTGTGTTATCTTTGTAAAAGACAACCTAATAGTGTCCTTTTTTAGCCTAAAAACATTAACGCAGAACCACCCACCCTTTATCCATTCACAGCACCCTTAAGCATCCCAGCAATCTGCACTGCAGCCCTAAACCAAACGAAACGCCTGATGGTTCTGTTTATTTAGTAGTTAGGTCCAAACAACTTAGTTAAGTATTTACGTTCTAACAACTTAGTGACCATAGGAAAAATAAGACACGTATATTGAAAGAAATAAGATGTTTCATTTCCTCTTAATAAACCACGACCCTTACTAATGGGATATGTGCACCTGTCGGATACTACACAACTCCTTAAATCAGGTTGGACACTGCCTCCCCTATTTCCCATTACACATTAATTTCCACAAGGTACTTGCCTTCTACCATAGAAATCACCAAAAAAACAGCTTCACAAAGAGAAGAAGTCATTTAAAGGAATATAGGATACTCCAATAGTGAAACTACATCAGGCTATTTATTGTTCATACAATGTTTAAGCATCACTGTATTCCCCGGAAGAGTAAAAAAGTATTCCAAGGTACACCTGTGAGTTCACTGCAGCACTCTGGGTGCCTCAGAGCACAGTTTGGGCACCAAAAGTGTTCATGGCTCCCCAGTGCCTGCAGGGAAAATGTCTTAAAGCATGGTATATGTACAGACTATCACTGGAAGAATAACAAGATATATAAGGATGTACAAACAATACACCATTTGTCTCTGGAAAGAGTAACCAAGTGGCTGGGAAACAAGGAATGGGGAGAGAGAAACTTGTTTTGTCCATGTGTTATGTATTCAAAAAAATATTTTTTAAATCATAAATACAAAAGGAAGTAGAAATTTAAATGATTCCAAAATTACCAATAATTGTCATTATTTATTTATTTTTAATTACCAGCAAAAGCTACTGGCTGAGGGAAGGATCCTTAACTGATTTCAATTGAATGAGTGTCAAGGTATTTGGGAGTTAAAGGGACCTGAATGCTGAGGGGCAGGATGGCACTCAGGAAACTTGGGTAAGCCATTCAACACCAGCTAATGGCTGCTCAAACTCCAGCCATCACATCCCCACTCTGGAAAGCAGGAAAGAAGTTTCCCTTACAAAATCAATCAATACTGAAGGTCATAACTGAAAATTTCAATGGTTTCAACATCACATTGAGCCAATGAAAAAGGAATCAGTCACAAAGTCATCAGTGAATGGGGGAAAAGCCCAATCTGGAAAGAGCATTAGTCAGCTGCATCTGTTTTATGAAGGGGAAGAAGAGCATTGTAACATTTCAACAGCAATGAAAGGTACTTTTGAGTTGAAGAAACAAAAAGACTGAAAAAGAGTTCTGACTTCTCTTCCTCTCCATGAAGAGACAACCTCAATGTCCCTGTTAGGGAAGGAATCCATGGCTGAGGCTACTAGCTGTCTCCCAGTATCTATTCTCCCCTTCTTCCTTAGGCATATACTTTATTCAGTGAATAGACTTTACTTTCCAGTCTCCTGTGCAGCATGGCATGGCCATATGTCCAAGTTCTGACCAGAGAGGTATAAACTGAAGTGTTGCATGGAAATTTGTGAAAAGGCTGACAAAAAGAAGCTGATTCCACTGGAAGATTAGATTTTTTTTTTTGTCCTCCTTTCTTTTTTCCTGCTTTCCAGAATGGGGATGTGATGGCTGGAGTTTGAGCAGCCATTCTGGACCATGAAGAGACTATGAGGTTAGAAACCATAGACCAGGATGGAAGGTAGAGCATAAATACAGGAAGAGTCTAGATCCTGATGGATGTGAGTCCATCACATCAGCCTGGACTTGCTGCTTCCCAGCATCCTCTATATGAGAGAAAAATAAATATCTATCTTATTTAAAGTCACCAATATTTCAAGTTTTCTGTTGCCAATGTAGACCTAATATAGTCCTTCACGAAAATTAATTTATAGGCCACATCAACTTGAAAACAGAGCTGTGATCAGTCTAATAAGAGAAACGTGCCTGCTACTGAGAAACAGGAACCATCAGCTGAGGAACTGTAAATCAGGGCTTGCAAAACCAAATTCTTACTGGAATGAAGTAGCTAGCATAAATTTGTGAAGCATCTGAGTATAAAACAATAGAAAGAAATGATGTCTGTGGCAAGCCCCCAAGTGCCAGGGGCATTCAAACTTAAATCTTTAAAAAAACTGAAATAGTCCAAATAGAGTATTTTTCCTGGTCTGTGAGTTTTAGACACATCCTGTGGTTTTTCTAAGGTATGAAATATTGTATGGACACAGACAGTAGCCTGTAGAAAGAGTCCCACTGAAATGAAATGGTGGGTTAATGCTCCCAGGAAGCAGTGGAAGGGGTTCACATGGGATGCACAAAACCTCAGTGCCTACCTTTGAATTAATTTTTAAAACAATTACTTGATAATATCCTCTAACACCAAAATGATCACTAGAGAAATCAAACCACAAGGTCTTCTGAGTAAAAGGCACAAAGGTTAAAGGATAAGAGGTCAGCTAACTTCTTCATTCAACCAAAGAAAATAAAGAAAAATAATAAGAGATCAAAATATTTAATTATTTCCACCTTCAAGAATGCCATGCTGATATTATTTAATTCAAAAGTCACATTATCTCTGTTAGTGGAAGACAGCCAAAGGTTAATAACCAAAATGACAGAATGCATTCAGTCATTTCAGCTTGGGGGCTTAGCCTAAGCTGGTTTGGGTTTAGTTGGTTGATGTGGGTTATAGTCCAAAAATATGCTGGGAAGTGGGAAATATTGGCCAGGGAAAACCAACTGCAAATAAGCCTTGTAAAGAAAACCACGAGCTAATAGACAGGAAAGAAGACAGCAAGGAAGGACCCTGTGTGGTAACAGAGAATCAAAACAGGAAGGAAACTCAGCTCCAAGACTGTTTCCAATGGCTTACCTCTCAAATAATTAACATGTCTTTTTTACAGTAACATGTGTTTTTTATTGAAATTTAAATATAGATAAGCAAAAAGAAGAAACTAAAGATCACCTCAATCCCACTATCAGGAAAGAGCTACCATTAACTTGGTGTACATTTTGCCAGACTCTTCTAGACTATTCAGTTATATATGTATATGTGTGTATGCACACATATGTATACACACATATCTATATAATGTGGGGTTTTTTCCTACCAAAATGAAGTCATAATATGCAATTTTGAAATTCCTTTCAGACAATAATCATAGGCATTTAGGGATATAAACTTGCTTCTTCAAAGATTATCAGGCCACTTTTTCTTCTGGGAAAACCACATCAGAAGCTTAACATAAAATATCATGACTATATGATACAACCAGTATGCATTTGCATGAGCAAAATTGGCTCTAATGAAAGAGGGAGACAGACAAACACCCCAATAATCAATGTTACAGCAAGATCCATTAATGGATGATAAAATTAGTAGGCAAAACTTAGAGGAAAAACAAGGTGTTAGCATAGTCCCAAAGTATCACTTCCAAGACATTTGTTAATTATACTGTAATTACCCAGAAGGTGCCCCTTTAGCAGGTGATGAAGGTTAACATCACCAGATGAAAATATCAGCATCATGTGCCCCCTGATGTCAGGCACCACGGAGGGTACATCACCTCTGTGGTAATCTTGCCAACACCACACTGCCTCAGATTATCATGAGGAAACATCAGGCAAACCCAAAGTGAGGTACTTTCTACAAAATAATGGCCAGTACTCTTCAAATGTGTCACAATTATTAACAGCAAACAAGGACTGAGGAACTCTCACAGATCAGATGGGACTAAAGCAACATAACAACTAAATATAACACAGGATCCTGGAACAAAAAAGATATTAGTGGAGAAAATGCTGAAATCTGAATAGAGTATGTAGTTTGCCTACTATTAAAAAAAGAAAAAAACAAAAACAGTCTCTTATTTAAAGACACTGAAAAAAGAGACCAGAAGCAGAATCACAATTACTCTCCAGTCACTCTAAGTATAATTGCTTCAAAACACTAACCTCAACTAAAGTGCCAAAAGCATCCTTCACCATTAGGTAAACGTAAACTGGAGGCAGACCATATCAAGCTGAATTGGTTCCCTGGAACACTGCCTGTGGAATTGCGACTTGGTATAGCCACTATGGAAAGCCTATAAAGGTATCTCAAAAAACTAAAAGTAGAAATAACTTATGACCCAGGAATTTCACTTCTGGGAATTTACCCATAGGAAACAAAATCATTAATCCAAAAAGATATATGCACTCAAATGTTTATCACCCATTAACTACAACAGCCAAATTTTGGGAACAACCTAAATGTCCATTGATAGATGAATGGATAAAAAAAGATGTGGTACATATATACAGCAGAATATTACTCAGCAGTAAAAAACAATGAAATCTTGCCATTTGTGACAACATGGATGGACTAGAGGGTATTATGTAAGTGAAATAAGTCAGACACAGAAAGACAAATACCATATGATTTCACTTACATGTGGAATCTGAAAAACAAACAAATGAACAAACAAATAAAAAAAGCTGAAATAGACTCATAAATACGGAAAACAGACTGATGGGTGCCAAAAGGGGAGAAGAGTGCGGGTAATGGGTGAAATAGGTGAAGGGGGAAAAAAATTAGTGAGAATGTTTGTTATCTTGATCTGGGCAATGTTTACATGAGTGTATACACATGTCAAAATTCATCAAATTGCACACTAAAATTTGTGTGTTTTACCATATGCACCTCAATATTAAAAAAAGTTAAATTGGTTCCCCTCATCCTTAAATTGTAAAGAAATAAACAATCTATTATTCTAAATCAAGCACGTACATGCACACACACAGAAAATCTGGGCACATTATTGGTAACTATTTACATTACCTAAGAAAATCTTGGAATTCCTCCTTTTTGGTAAAGCTCCACCAGATGCCCCTCTTACCTTCTGAAAAGAAAACAAGAAATTGTTAAAAATGCAGCCTATGGAACAGATGATTAGCAGGGTAAAGGGAGGGAGTACATCTCAGAGGTTTCCAGTTTTTATAAAAGGCCAAAAGGAATTATTCAATCTGGACGAGTGATTTCCAGGATAAACAGAAACCTGAGCCAGGTCAGGGGAGGTAGGTGAAGGGTAATATGCTCCACATGATGATTTTCATCAAATTATCAAGAAAGCATTTCTGGAGAGAGAAGTGGAACCAGGCATCAAGGTGAAGCAGACACTTTAGCTTCAGATTAGCATGTGCTCCCAAGAGGCTGGAATCTAACACTGGAGTTACTCTGAAGGAATGGTGGTGGCTCCAGACAGGGAGGCTCTCACTCCTCTGTCACCCACGGTCCTGGGTACACACCACAATTATTGTTGAAAGAGTTCATAAACACTCATAAATTGTCACAGATACTCTAGTCTTATTAAACCTCAACCTAACCTCCCTAAACATTTTCTGAACATCATGTAATGGCTATGTTTGCCATCCCAAGCTTTGTGTATTTACCACCTCTGGTAGAAGTCCCTAGAAGCAATGAAATAAATGCTCATCAGGTAGTTATGCAAAAGAAATCATTCATTATCCTTCCAACACTGGCACAAAATATTTTACATTCAAATAAAATGATAAGGATTCTTGTTTCAAATGGCCAAAACCATATTCCACACTGTATGTTCTTTCAGTTATTAGAAAGGAGCACATTTCCAATACAACACAATGTGTGGGTCAAATCCTAGCATCTTATCAAGCAGCCACATGTATAGCAGCATCAAGGCATTACTGTTTCTTTAGTTTGTCCTCTTATCCTCCTAAGTCTCCTTTCCCACACTGTATTATTTGGCAATAAAGACTGACTCATCTTTGGGATTCTCACTCTCATAGCTTCTACTATATGTTTATAGTTCACATATTAGGAATGTGAAAACTATTGAACACTTTAGCTGAAAAACCTGCCTCTCCAAATACTAATGCCAAATTCATGTCACTTCTCTTTGAATCCGTTTCCTCCAGAGTCTCAGAGCCTCTGTTCCTCTCCCGTCCACTTACCTAACTCAAAAAGGGCTGAAATAAAACCTGTACCAAAAGCACACTTAACAATCCTCACTTAACAATTTTGGAGGTCACTTAAAATCTCTCTACAGAAGTTTATGGTATCCTTTTAATTGTTTCAACATCACCATCCCCTCCATTCCTGCATGATGGTGGAGGGAGAAAGAAGGAGAGAAGATGCATATAACATGCATATATAACATGAGGCTTTCTGTGATTGTGAGATTCACACCTCACACTAGGATTAGATCCACTTCCTTTCATAAAAAACAAAAACAACTTCCAAGTCTTCCTTCCAAAGACCATTACCTCTGTGCCTGCATCAGTCACCACTAGAAACCAGCAAGGTTTGAGAAAGTGGAACTCCTCAGTTGGCAGACATGACTGTGCCCACATGTCAGGCTCTGTGCTGGTGTTTAGGCTGCAAACTGAGTGAAGACATGCCCCCTACCTTGAGGAGCCCACCAGCACAGTAGGGGGACATATATATAAAGAAACAGCACAGTAGATTCTGAAGAATGTTAAGAGAGGAAGGTAAGTGTATCATAAGGAGGAAAGGATAGTTCTTCTGGGATTGGAGGGTGTGGGCAGGGCTAGTCGGGTATGAAGAACAGCAGGCCTAGCATATAGCAGCTGCTCAGCACATATTTCTTGGATGGATGGATGGATGGATGGATGGATGGACAATGGATGGATCAATGGATGGATGATGAATGGTGGATAGAAGACAGATGAATATGCTGAGCACAGGGAGTACAACAGGTAAAAGAGTAGTGAAGTAGAAGTAGGGCATCCCAGACAGAGAAAACAGATGTACTAAGGCATGAAATCACAGTGTGCTCCAGAAAGGAGAAGTACCTT